GTGTTGCAGTTTCGAAAGGGAAAGGACACAAAGAGGGTCTGAAACCATTCAATTGCAAACCAAGGAAATTTGAAAACTGGGGAATTACAAAAGGAGCTTAACTTAAGTCAACTATTGTCAGTTGTAGAGGAAACTGTTTGCCTGTGGTAACCGACGTTAATTAGAAATACCGGTAAAATACTGCTTATAAAGAAGTATTAATTTAGGAGAACTTACGACACGAGCAATGGTAATGCTTTTGATGTTATAGAGGTGCTGACAACTAAGAATAAGGAAAATGAACGCGACCTTCAAACTGAAGTTGGTCACTGTGTTGTACAAGTGTGTAGCTCAAAACAAAAGTGTAAACAACAAAATAGAAAAATGGGAAGCTGCATTAAAACATTGAGTGGCAAGTGAATTAAATTAGAAGTAGACCTAACATTCCGTTTGGTAAGCATACCTAAGAATTTAGGGAGGGGATTGATGTCAACTCAAATTAAACCCAATTTTTTAGCAAAGCGCATTGCCCGTGAAATCTTAAACAGGAATCTACTCAGATCCTTTTAATTAACGAGGGAATTTCGTTGCATCAAGTAACGCTGCACCCTCGAACAAGACTGATCAAAGGGCCCCATGTCTAAGAGTAATTCTGCTTTCACGACGGAAAAAGTTGAAGCACTTCACTGTTATCTGTGCGATATACATTTGTTTTCCTTTACCTGTAACGTTGGGCATAATGGATCATGATAACGACATAACACTGAGCTTCTGTTCGCCTTGTAGGACCTGAGTCTAAATAAAGTTGTGACGTTTTTGTGTGATATTAAAATAATACTTTTTTCCCATGCATATTAAATTCTTTAGACCTCCTCAAAGAAGTCAACAGTGAGATTATTTCGTGGTTACTTCTTACCGATTGTTTTTCCTTTCGCAAAGGCTTAACTTAAAACATTTCTTAAATTATTCCGTGTTCACAAATAACGAATGATCTTAATTTTTTTCTATTGGACTTGCAGTCAGATGTGGTTAATGTAGGATGAGGTTGTCGGCCAAAAAAAAAAAAGTGATCACAAATCCAAATTAATGCACTAAAGCAAGTGGAGAATGGAGGGTAGTTTGTGACGAGCGGTGGGCAGACATTTTCGAGTTTGGATGGCCTTGTGTGAAGAATTTCCTCGGTGAGTCTTTCTGTAGCAGA